GACACTGGTTTCATGTGGGTCGGTGTTAGACCATTGTCATTGTAGCAGCTAACCGAAATCAATATCAAACAGTTTACAGAGTCATGCCGGACCGATGTAGAAACTAACCGGAATTCAATGTCGGGACAGTTTACGGGTCATGCCGGACCGTTTGTAAAAAGCTAACCGGAATAAATGTCGGGACAGATTTACGGGGTCATGCCGGACCGTTGTAGAAGAATTTGTGGTGCACCAAGGGGGCGACTTAGGGAGTGCGCCATGGGGTGGCTTGAGTGTTCCCATGGTGTATAACCATGCTCACCGCTTGAGGTGGTTCGCATGGTGTGTGTCACGACCCAAACCTGGCCCTATGGGTTTAGCACCGTAACCAGCCAGTATCCGAGATTACCGAAGGCCTGCAGAACAGTATATACAGTAAAACAGAGTACAGGGCCTGGCGGAAGCAATACAGTAAATAAATAATGCCCAATGAGCTGTACAGTCTGTATGCCAAAGATTTTTCATGCATTCATATATTCATAACAGTACAGGCTATACAAAATTTACAGTCACACAGTACAGGGACCTAATCCCTGTGTAAACAGTACAGTTAGTAGCTGACAGTCTAATACAGTAAACCAAAACAGTACGGAGACAGACGGGGAAAAACAAGACACCCCAAGCCATAGCATGGCAACCCAGAACCTCGCAGTAGGCACAAAGGCTGGCTTGACAAAACTGGAGTCAACCCACGCTCCTAGCTTCGATCTGGTGACTGAGCACCTACATATATATATATAAACAGTGAGCTAAACCAGTGAAAACATAATGCGTAAAGGGTTATGAATGAAATGTCCTTTACAGTAATGAAATCAGTTCATTAAACAATACTTCAGTCTTCAGTCAGAAAGTTATTCAATCATATGTGGTACATCCATTAGCAATAGCAATAAACAGTAGGTCTTAAAGACCGAGCAGTAATGATGCCATCAAATCAGTAAACAGTAGTGGTTCCACGAGGGAACCGTAGAGAATCTCGTAACAGTAACAGTAAACAGTAGGTGCTAAGGATGCCACAAACAGTTCAGAATATAGGACATACATTCATTCAGTTAACAGTAATCAGTTCAGAAAACGGTACAGTTCAGTTATTCAGAAGATAATCATTTGTGAACATATCTTTACACAATCTTACTCAAGAGTTCGGGCTACAGTATGCTTAGAGCGTTCTCCCCAGTCGCCCAACCCTACACAGTTAACAGATTGAACACACTAAGCTACATAGTTGAAAACGTGTAGACTTTTAGGTCTACTCCAAAAGTTGTTGGATTAAATAGTGTACACATATTTCAAACAGGACCTACGGGTATAATCCCCAAAAAAATATCATGAAATTTTTTATGAAGATTCTTCACTATTAGATTACACACACAATAAAACACCACACACTAATCAAACAATGAAAAATCTTTATAAAATATTTTATGATATTTCTTTCATTATATCTAATATTATTCTTATTAAAAAAAAAAAACATATGTAACAAAAAGATGAGTGAGATAAAGGAAGACAGTAATACAACTTTTTTTTTTAGATGGGCATATGAGTTGGACTTCGAAATAACCCATTTGGAACGGGCCTCACCCTCGAACTCAGGCTTTTTCCATATATTTTAAGGCCGAACCTAGGCCAAGCTAAATCTTAATGAACAATCTTGTTCGACACTAGAAGGCCAACAAGCTGACTTGGATCTAATTTTCATTCGTCCTTCTCTTTCTTCAACTTGGACCCAATATGCTTCTTCTTCAGTAATTAACAAATGAACACTGATAAGAGAAATAACATGCCTGCAGACATGCCTAAAAATGGCTGGAAAAGAAGATGTCATAAGCTGAGATGATAAGAATGAGAGTTTTTTTTAATTGATTTTATATTAAAGTTATTATTTGGCTATACCATAAAATTAAAATATTATATATTTAGGGTAATTTATGGAAATTAATAGGTTGTATGGAGGATAAATTATATATTTAAATAAATTTAATAGGAACTGAGAAATTCGACAATACTAATTGATTTTTGGGTGTAAATATAGAAACCCCTACCCCACCAATTGTTAATTCTATATTATATTAAAACTTGAAATAGCTCAATTTTTTGTTTTATTGCTTGAGACTCAGTTTAAGAGGTCCCAAAAAAATTCATTGGGCCAATAAATATATAAGTATTGTTAGGCTTAATTAAAAATTTACATATTCAAATCCAAAAAAAATAATTATATATATATATAAAATATATATTATATAATTAGTCCAAATAGAGTCTCATGGTCAACAACCACCACCTTGGCAAAATAAAAAACTTCTTTCTTCTTCTTCTTCTTCTTCTTCTTCTCTCTCTCTCTCTCTCTCTTCTCTCTCATAGTATTAATATAATATCAAATTTTAATAGATAAACTCTCTCTATATTATATATATATATATATATATCAGATTTTAATAGAATAAAGAACTTTGTCTTAATTTTTTTTGCCTTCTCTCCTTATCATATTTTTAATTGAATAATTTTATCCTAATTTCTCTATGTTAATTTGTTGTCATAATTGTTTTGCCCTCTCAACTATCACAGTTTAAGTGAATAATTTTTCCCCTAGTTTTGTTTGGTCCTAATTTGTTCCAATAATTTGTGTTTTGCTATTGGATAGTTAATGGATTGTGATTTATATGGATTATGATTGTGTAAATTAGATATCAGTGTATAATGTTAGTTGTGTTAATTATTGCTAAATTATAAAACAACAAGGTCGTATTTTAACCCTTTTTAATATTTGTATTGATTTCTCCCTATCTTTTATATAAAGTAAATTTTAATTTATAATTTTAATGATTATAATGTGTAAGGAAACTTTTTGGACTACTAAAACATTAAAAAAAAATTAATATATATTCAAGCCACATATAAGTAAATTATTGATTTTTTTTTTTTTTTTGGGTAGATCTTAAACATTTTCCTTAATTATATTGATCTCTTCCAATGTAAGATTTCTTTGGATGCTCTTTTATTCCAATTTCATCAATTTTCCATTCAACTTTTGAAATACCAACAAAATATAAAATAAAAAAATAAGTCTAAATTAAAATATAAAATAGGTTCTAATAAATATATATTAAGGATTATAAATATGCACAATAATAGACGCCATAAATTTTTTCGCTACGCTATTAGTCTAAGGATTGTTTGTGATGATCTTAAATAAGTTGTATTTTTTAAATTTCTACAAAATGATGTACAAAAAAAGTAGAGAAGTAATATCACTCAATAAGTACACTTATTTAGGAGATGCCAAACAAACTCTAACTTACCAGAATACTCAATAATTAGACCATCTTCAACCCAAACTCAATCTTTCATCAAATTAAATTTGATGAAAATTTGGTGAAAC